AGGTGTACGGCGCGGGACTAGGGTAAGGAAGAGGATGTACAGCAAATAGCATGGCTAGTAGGAACCTATTACAGGACAGGCATAACTTTGCACTCGCACTGCAGAATAGGCTGCAAATTTCCTCATCAAGGAAACAGAAGTAAACTTTTTTCAATAAGTTTATTAGATTCTTCACCCACAATAAATAAGTAACGTCCCTATGACAGAAGTACCACAGAGAAAACATTTATTACAGTTCCTAATTCGTGACACGGTCACATTTAAATTATTTACAACTGTTTTCATTTTGAAGGCAGATGTGAGAATTGATCGCCGAACTTTCCTTTGAAGTCGAGCTTTACGTGCAGCATCCAGTGCAGCGGAAACGCGTTTTATGGTCCGAGGATTGAGCAGTTTCTTCTGGAAATTGGAACATTAAACTGAGATTTCCCACTGTGTTACAATGGTATCAGAATGAATGCTGACCTCTAGACGCTCTCGTACGGTACCTTCTTGCACTTTCTTCTTTTTCGGTTTAGAAACAAACGACTTCCCAGTACCGGCTTCGAGATCTCTGAAATAGAACACTTTCTCGTCTCTCTACTGATTCAGCAAAGAAGCAAAGAAAATCAGGGTGCGGAGCGTCACATCCGCGTTAGACAGCGTAATGCGCGTCAACGCATTAGCATCGCAAAAGCTCGCTCCAGCGCTATGGACGGGAACGCAGTCATAGATCTAGGGCCGGACGCTACAATGCCGAGAGAGGGACTGAGATAATAGAAGGGTACGCGTTGCCTCACTGCAACACGTACCCTCCTATTATCGTCTCTCTGGTGCCCTGCTGCTCTTTTATAATCTCCCAAAACACTAGCGTCCTGCACCGATCGATACCGCGATGCGAAGGTTGCAAGCGTTTATACCAGGACCTAATCGATCAAGTGAAGGAGCTACAATGTATCAAGACAGTTAACTAGGGGCAATGACACACATCCCAAACAACGTGTTTAGTGGGCAAATCGCTTCACCATTCTACATCATTAATTCGTCAGAGAAGCTTACATAATAAGTATAATATAAGTATTAGTATTTAGTTTTTTTTTGATAATTGGCAATTAGCACTGCATTATTTCCAATGAGTGGTTGCTTTTGCCTGAAAAGTCCAAAATAAGGGTGCCACTGTGGTTGGGAGGGGCCGCGTGGAGTTACGTGACTACTTGAACCCTTGTGCATAGTCCTGTTGCGAAATCCTGTATAGGATGGCAAAAAAAGCTGTCAAGCATGGAAAAGCGGAAAAAAAACATTCGGCGAGCTGCAGCATGGCCTATTTCGAAGGAGGGGTACTCTGGGTGAGTGAGCCACGTATCACGTGTGGAACATTAGAATGTGGAAGGTCAGAACAGCGGCAGTCCGTGAGGGTAGCGCTTTTCTGCGATCTCTCACTGAGACGGTGACTACCACCCGTGAACTAGTTGCGATACATTTTAATCTAACCAATGCAAACCTCAAATATTCTTCCTCTTCTTGTTGTTCCCGTTCAGCCTGGGAAGCGGAAATCTCGCTCGCATCCACCTCCTTCAAGGGAAAGCCCTCGTCATCTCTGTCGACTATAACACCGTGAAGTGGACACCTGAAAACATAGTTGCATGTCCTACTCCAGTTTTGTCTCATTCGAAATAAGATCTAGCCCTAAATCAGAAGTGTTTTTGACCTAGTTCTGGGAGAGGAAGAGGCACGCGGCGGCGCTACTACCTCCCTTTTCAAGGCTCAGTCTCAGCAAAGCGCAGACAACCTAGACTGCACCACCTAGTCCAGCAAGACAGACATAATACCATGCAGGCGCGTGTCTCCTCTCTGAATCACACCAGTGCCTAGAAGTACTATCCAGAATCCAAGTCACGAAGGAGGAAACCACGTACTTACGCAAGTCCATTCTCGGACAGAGTTTGCCATTCGACAGCCTTGCTTTACAACGTTTCTCCGCTCGCTGAGGTTCTCCTATCCACGTTATTATTCTAAGTTCTCCATCTGCCTCCTTCATTGCGGGTCTAAATCGCAAAATACACTGGAAACTTGTTAGCAAGCAATAGTAGCAAAGGAGAATATGTACCGATCGTCATCTTCTGGAAGCCTCCAAAATCGATGACTGTCAGCATTGTTGAGAAGAATGGGGACTTCAGTGCGTCGTTCTCCCCAGTATTTCAGATCGAGTCCAAAGGAAACAACGGGAATTTCCGGCTTTGCCTGGATCTCATCCTATGATATCCGTAGTTAGGACATGACGTAAATAAACAAATTTCAGACTGTTAGGGCTTTCTGTAATAAACTTTTTCACGGGTAATGGTGGATGAGGGGGCGGGGTGAGAATATGCCTTCTCATGTCTGCTCGCCTCCCTTCTCGAACAGGGATAATAACAAGAGATTTCATACACAGTATTCCTGTTTGATCCAACGCAGTACGCCTTGAGCCATTCCGAAACCAGTTCGTTGCGGAGTTACGGAGATTCCGCACTGAGTCGGTGAGAGGGTGCAGACCACTGAACATGGAGGAATATAGCCGTTCCGGATCCCCCATACTTCCTTTCTTACTGATTTACTTTCTCTCCAAACCGGTATCACCTATTGAACTCGAACCTATTGAATGGAAGCGCCTAAAACTTTGCTTACAGTAGTACATACAGTCGCTCTCGACCAAACCAGGGGCAGTGAACAGTTTTAGCGTGGGCGGTGAGAGCGTTGTTCAATCGAGTCATCTAGCTAAGAAAGACTCCTAGAGGCATGTGATGGCGCGAGTCAGTTGTCCTGAATTATACCCACTAATCTCATACGGCTATGATACCGCAATTCCACCTCCTTTTCTGGTTCAGATATCCTTTTCATGAAACAGATCGTGGCAGGAGCTGCGTGTAAAAACATCCGAGATGCTACGTCGCATGCAGACTGGCGAGGGCTTTCTCGTTAGTTGGTTTGTCAGCCGCAAAACTGCCATGTCAAACAATTTGGGTCCTGATGCGAATGAAAAGATTTGCAGCGGCTCTTTCATCGCACCTCGGACATTTGACTAAACTCTAAAAAGTGAGATGGTACGAATATCTTCTGTTACAGAATAGCAACTTCACCCTGCGAAGAAAACTTAAACAGCACCTCTTTTGGTTCCTGTTTTGAATCCGACGGAATCGTTTCCAGTGATTTACTACAACACGGCTTCTCGGAACACTCCTCTTTTTCCAGTTGCTCTACTCGTTCCATAATATGTCTAGGGACTTCCTCAGGTGGCATGAAATCCTCCACTATAAAAAGACACCATATTGAGAAGTTAACTACCACAATGAAGTTGGTGAACCATACATTGCTTTTCGGGAACCTCTTCGAGATCACTTTCTTCACTTTCGCTGGAATCAGCTCCTTTGCGTCTTCGTTTCTTTGGCTTCAGCTTCAATTCAGCAATTTTCGCACACCGCTGGTCGATTTTTGTCTTGAGTGAAGTCAAGTCGCGCGTAAGTAATTCGGCTCCTGTAGCTCCATTAATTTTGCGCTGCCAGCTGAAGTAACGAGAAATAAAAAGACGGGACTACTCGAGAATATAAAGCCCCGTGTCCCTAAGACGGAGAAGGCGTGGCTCCGTTCACCGTTTCTTTCCCGTGAAATGTTTCCATTTGATGCAGCTGTCGCCCTGTTTTGTGCCGGGCAAAGACATGACTGCAGTCATTCCAAAACTACCACAGCTGTCACGCCCAAATGGAGTACGCAGTCACGCCCCTCCCATCCCCAGAATATAGGTGTGATCGTACCTTAGAACCTTATTTCGATAATGGTCTAGCATAACTTTTGCATCGCGTAGGCTTTCGAGTAGCGCCTCGTTATCTTCATTGATCGTAACCTCTGGAGTGAGCGACTTCAAAACGACGGATATCGTCTCAGAGCTTGCGTACCCGTGAGCAGCCTGAAAAAAAAACTTGAAAAACTACGCTGGGTTAAGCCACTGCTTCAAATGCTTTGCTTAAAATCTATAAGCGTAGCATTATTTCAAAATAGTGCTGTCCCGGAGCCTCATTGCAATCTGAATGTTGAACACATAAAAGAGGCGCCAAAATTTATTGCGAAAGACTCAAAAGATTCAAAAGAATCCAAAAGTTTTCACAAAAATTTTTTATATTGTTTATACTCTTTCTTCTTCGAATATTTCGGTGCCTAGCACCTTCTTCAGCGACCTGAAATACTACAGTTAGCCACCTCCACCAAGATTCAGGATTCCGGTGGAGGTGGCTAACTGTAGTATTTCAGGTCGCTGAAGAAGGTGCTAGGCACCGAAATATTCGAAGAAGAAAGAGTATAAACAATATAAAAAATTTTTGTGAAAACTTTTGGATTCTTTTGAATCTTTTGAGTCTTTCGCAATAAATTTTGGCGCCTCTTTTATGTGTTCAACATTCGTAAGCATTTATTATTAAGTGCACATCCCAGTCACAATAGCAGGTGGTGGGGGGGGGGGCACGTTACAGAGCGACAAAGTTCGCTCTTCTGCGCTACGGAACGAGGCCGTGCGGGCTATGCTCAGATCTCAGTCTATCTGTCGATCGCTGAGCTTCCGTTCTTCTTCCCCCCTCTTTCCATCTTTTCTCTCCTTCTCTCTTCCCTCTTCCGTAGTTTCCCCATTTTGAATGCTCGGCCAAGAGATGCGGAAAGTAGATACCTCTAGACCCTCCTAGCAAGAGAATATCGGGTAGACAAAAGCCCCTATGTGCTCTACCAACTCTGAGCATGTGAACGGGAGGGAACCAGGAGCTTATGGTCGCAGCACCGAAAGAATATCGGCGACTCACATAATCTTCAATACTGATAGAAAATACCTGCACCTTTTGAAATTCTTCGACGCTGCTTCTCTCGGAGTTCTTCATAGTACTTCCACCGGAATCCGTGCCAAAAATAGGAACTAGTATTGAGAGAGCCGTGTCAGCAGAAGCAATGCACTGCTCGATATCTTCTTTTGCATCGTCGAATTTCCGGCGAACATGAGCCAGAACCTAAAATGCTTTCACCCCATAACACGGGAAAGCGTTACTATCAATGAGACACATTCCTTTTCGCTGCGAGTGAAGGGGCGTGTCAAGCGGGATAAATTTCCGGCGAACATGAGCCAGAACCTAAAATAAGTTCGGCGCAGCGGCGAACCCGTTTTCCACCACTTGCCGAAGCGAGCAAGCGACAGACCATATCATATCGTTCGTATAAGACATTTCCACTAAGTGTGGTCACTGGCCCGCTTTAACAACTGGAGCAGAACGGCTTGGCGCTGCGTCAACCTCTGCTGACATGACCCTTCATCTGTGACGGACAAGACGTAGCACACGCGCGAAATGTTCAAGACATTGAACAACACGATGGAGAAGTTCGAATTTGAGCTATCCCCAATACCCCCTCCACGCACAGGGGGAGCTACCTCATGACGACTCGAAGATGATGAGCATTTTAACAAGTCAGATAGATGACATTGCACATAAAACGATGGCGAACCCGAAACCTGTATAGTACACGTCATTAAGGAGTTATGTGATGACAATGATGTCAATGACACGCCATCTACCTCTCAACAGGTAACAATGATCACCGTGTGCTCGTGCTACATCGGCACCCAGTACAAACAAATCTCTTGCGTTGAGCCTTTCCAGAGTGGAAACCCGCCACGCTTCCCGTTTACCGAGGTTAAAAATCACGCAAGGGATGGGTAATTTGAAAGAGGCAATCAATAGCCGATTGTTCACCTTCTGCGATAACTCGGCGTTTTTTCTATCTTCTGCTTCTTTTCTTATCCGTTCAGCCAACAGTTCCGCTGATGCTGAATCAAAATCCACAGCCTTAACAGAAATCGTGAAGTGTACAAGAGATATTACAAGAACAGTAATGGAAGAGCATTAAGCTACCTTAGACTCCCTTAGAAAATCGCTGACATAATTCAATTTGTCGTAGCCGGGTCCAAATTTCTCATGCCACTTTTTAACCGCTTTTATAGCGTAAGCCTGAGAAAAAAGTGTGTGAAGCAAGTCTCAGTCTGTTTTGTAACAAACCTTTAATTCCTTTGCTTCCGTACTTGGTCCTGGAAGAGGGTGATGCAGAGGATCTGTTTCACACACCAGCAGAAGCAATTCCTGTGAATGGACGATTTATGTGAACATATAGAAGAAAATGTGTTCTCTAATGGATACCTGCAGTTTTTCAACTGTTCTCAGCCGGAATTTGTGCGAGCGGTTGAAGAAATAGTCGAAAAGGGACATTAAGGCTTGCCTACGTTCAGAATCGGAGCGCTAGAAAGAACTTTTATTGATCACGTTTAAAAGGGTGTTTCAAGCTGATCCTTGGATAAATCACGTGCTACGGTACAGGGGCACTTTGATGCAATAGTTTTCAGGTTACTGTCGTATAAAGTTGCAACAACCTGAAAACCTAAATATAAACAACCCGTTTTACACGTTTCATTATCCCGCGCAGGCCCCCTTCTTCTTTCGGATTCGGTTGAGGTCAACCATTGTGCCAATAGGACAGCAATCACATGGTATTTTCCTCATCGGGGACTGTGAAGAGGAACAGCGAGTATCACACAACAAACAAAGTATAATCAAAATGAAGACAAACCTTCAGAGATATGAATAAGTACTCGACATATTCGGTAATAGCGTCCTCATTCTCACGGACTTCCTTCTTAAGCTTCTTGAATTCTTGCGATTCAGTGCCAATATATTTCTTGGAGTTATTCACAGCCTGAAACGAAGTAAGTCTGATCCACTATTACCAACAACATTCTAGAATACTCACCGTCCAGTGGCAATAAATATCATGTATACCTCGTTCACCAACTTGTTGGTGATGACACGCAAAATTCTCGAAGAATCATCCATCATGTGAGTATGCCTCTTTCATTTCGTGGGCAGCTAGAATTCGAAAAAGGGGCTGACGACGGGAGCTGGTCTGCAAGTTCGCGTCAGACCTACTGTGTAATTTTGCGTCAGCGCTCTCACCTTTGAATTGAGTGCTTCCACTATGCTTCCACTTTGGAGCAATTCATGAACATATTTGCCTTTTTGGGGTCTCTATGCCTTGAGATTTGACGGATGCCTCATACTGAGTGTTTTCTGTGTTTCATCACGTGTTGCCTCAAACAGAACCTAAAAGGGGCTATCGTAGGGTGGGGCGGTCGCCGCTACATCAGGAAAAGCTCAGGGCACTCGGGTTGATCTGTTGAGCAAAGCCCTCGTCATCCGGGCAGTTGATTAGGGCGGTCGTCAACGGGCCGCAGCGCGTGCCAGGAACTATTTGCTTTTTCCAGGCTAATTTAGTCATTTTTTCCAACTTTTCACTGTTTTGGCTACTTTTTCCCAGATTAGCAGCTCCTTATCTTCACAAGGTGGAAAAAATGACTAAATTAGCCTGGAAAAGCAAATAGTTCCTGGCACGCGCTGCGGCCCGTTGACGACCGCCCTAATCAACTGCCCGGATGACGAGGTTATGTCAAAAAAGTAACTTTGCGGTACAAAGTTTCAGTGGCAATGAGAAACAAAACGATCGTAGAATCGTAATATCACGTCTACCGGATCGTTGTAGCAGATCGGATATCCATCGCTGACTCGCAAACCGTCACCATTGTGTGAGTTATGCATTGACACTGTCACAGGAATACGGATGTTTGCTACGCAAACTGAGGCCAACGCAGCCATCGACCTGTCCTCGCGTAGGGCTTTTCTCCGTCCTGCTCCCGCCTTCTTTTTACTCCGTTTAATCAGACTCTGCTCGCTCTCGAAATCCATTTCTATTCTCCGATAGTCTGCCGTGCACTCCTTTAGGATCGACTATGACTTGGCATGAGCTCTACTAGACCGAAGGCAATATGTCGCACAAAAGTGTACGTGGCGTTGTTATATGAGCAAATAACTCCATCGAGTATAGACTTACCAACATAAGCTCCCATACGTTAGCAAGTCCGCTGTTGTCTCATGACTAATCCTCCTATATACTAATTAGTTTCTGAGCGGAGGTTGTGTAAGTGTCAGATAGAGGACCCAGCGCTTAACTACTCAGCAAACGGGTCCTGACGGTTCAGTAACTCAGCCCGCCCAGGCCAAACAAGCTCTCGCCTATCCTCGGCGACTGGTAAATTTGGTACCAAATTCATCTCGGTGCATGTGATAAAGAGGACATCTGCAGCTCGCTACTGACATCACTTGGCTGCTCCACGGTTCATTGTTATACCAGATCACTTTGATTTGCAATATGTCCACTACCGATTCTTAATGGGTCTAAACCCCTAATAGAAATTGAGTGGCTATTGAATCAATGGTGACCTATACAATGACCCCGTGCGCGCATCCCACAATAGGAGTATAGGTTGGAACGAGCCCGCAGTGAAGATTCATATGTAAATCTCCTGTGTTCCTCAATATCTTTCTTTACTTTTTCCGCCATGCAAATTATACCGTATCTGTCGTGTTGTGCTTGTCATGCAGAATAGACTCGTCAAAAAAACTGGAGCAGTCTCTACAAGCACCTGAGACACGCACATGGATGGACCGAAGAACTGATAAAGGATGAAAAGATTCGCATCAAAACCGCTAAATACCCAGAAGTGTGTCGTGCGTGCGACCAGTGTGACAAGGTATTCAACTCTAAGGCTGCGCGACAGTGAGCAGTGCAGTAAAGGTACCATTTTCCCTCTGCATTATAGCATGCGTAATTCACAGTACTTCAGCGACTTCATGGGACTGGGCCGGCTCGGTCATCAATGGTAAGAGTGTTGTGCCCAAAATGTAGTGAACGTTTTCGTACTCATCGTGAATTGGCCCAGCATTGCGGAAGCTCACATAGCGACGAAAATGTAGAATCGCCAGATTTTTCGGTATTTAGCGGAAGTTTCAGCAGCATGAAAGATTTTGAGGTGAAACTTGTTTTAAGCCCACAATTGTTTCGTCACTTATCTTCATAATGTCTTAGGTATGGAAGACCTCCCTGGAGAAGTCAACTTTCGCAAAATTTTCAAAAAGAGACTCTAAGCCGCGTAAGAATGGTAGGAAACATCTTTACCTATGCAGGCATGCTCGAGGACCTAAAGCAGATATAGGTGCTGAAGTCCGTCATGTTCACAGCAAAAGCAAGCGAATTCAATCGCACTGTCCTGCCCACTTGAAGGTTCAGCTGTCATCTTTGATTTCAAGCTATTTTTCTTTCTCAGAGAACGACTGCAGGTATTTGAACGAAATGATGGCACTGTCGTATACGAAGGTTGCGCTGGGCACCTTGGACATGAAATAAATGCGGCATCTCTTCGGTCTAGAGCAAGGGCGTCAAGAACTTACCGCAACGGCATTGGAAAGCTAACATGTTGCAAAAGACGTAGCAGGTACCTAATTCATGTTTTTTTGTTTATGGATGGATTTTCGTAAATCAATCCACTTGCAGATGATGAGATGGACGAGGGAACACTTTCTTTTGGCAACAAGAAGCTATAATGGAACAAGATAATACGAAAGAAGAATGTGAGCGCTGTCATGTTGATAGCAGTCAAGGAATCGGTGTTTAAAACCAGTTGTTATAGATCTTCTGCGGTGTGAAGTGTATCTCTTCAAGCACATCGCATATGTGAACTAACTCTTGCGACTTTGGAAAATAAGCTCTGCAACATGTAGCTGGTGCCAATCTGTTGATGGAGATGGCTACAAAACTAGCGGAAGATACGGATCAAATGCAAAGTTGGTCAATCTTGCACCTTCACCAGGGCGAAAAGCTACAACTGGAACCTGCATGACGGCAGGTATTAAGCTTCAATGGTATGTTATATGGTAAAGATCAAGTGAAATCAGTTTAAACTCATGTCAGAGAGTTCAGCAGCGGAATGTCACAAGCGAAGAAGAACCAGTGTTTCGTCTATGCAGAGACCGTGGTATGCCCCAAACCGCCCGTTAGTCTATCAGCGACTATTTTCTGGGTATATTTCCACTTCACTACTATTCTTTTAAGAACACTTAATATCGTCCTCCACTTCTGCCCTGCAAACTGTCACCTTCACGATGGTAACCTAGAAGGATCACCGATACGGATGACTCGGATGACCTTGAAGAATTTTACGGGTATTTCGCCCCCGTTTTCCATGGTTCTATTAGCACGGTTTTGGAAGTCTGTTTGTCCTGGATCCTGTTATTACGATCTCAAAACTAGAATCGCAGAAATCGTTCCTACGGTAGTAGAATTATTTTCACAGGAAATTACAGATTAGCTTCTATGTTGGAAAGTACTCTTTCTATATTGTTGTTCGGCCGAGTTGCTACGAAATAAAGTGTAAATTCCTTGGTCGTTACCAACAGTAAAATTATTATTGTAAGGGTTGAGTGGGAATCGAAAAGTCACACGACAGGGAAAAAGCTGGGAGGGTGGAGGGGAGGGGAGGTGAAGGCGAACAATGGCTAATTGCTATAGTGCCCAGCGTGAGGGGAGGTGGGGTGGTGATGACGGACGAACAATGACTACTAGAGTGCAAACGTGCTGCACAATAACGTCTTCAGTGCCTCGTTAATAAAAAGAAACTGAACAGGAGTGGTGCTGAAGTTGGGTTTAATTCATCCATTTTAGAGGAAAAAAAATTGAGAAAATTGCAGTGAAATCTTTATTCATCTACGGCGGAACCTACGCTTCTATCAAGAAAAGCGGATGTTGCATTAATACATACATTACTACGACGGATACTCGAGACCTACTAGAAAGAGGAGCTGGTACTGGTTACATAATGAAAGGGAAGCGTTTATCGACTAGATTCGAAGGATGAAACAAACTACAAACAGTCTATTTACACTTTTGATTCATGATACATTCTATACAACCTCATTTACAACTCTATTCATAATGAAGGCCGATGGGCGAATTGATCTCCGTAGTTTCTTTCAAGATTAGCTTTACATGCGGCGTCAAGAATAGCGGAGACACGTTTGATTGTACGAGGGTTGAGAAGTTTCTTCTGAAAACTATCGCAATTGCCTGAGGTCTTTTGGTGGCGTCAGCAGAAATCCGAATAAATACTGACCTCTAACCGCTCACGCACAGTAGTTTCCCGCTTTTTCTTCTTTCTGCGCCTACTGACAAAAGACTTTCCAACACCGGCGTCCAGATCCCTAGATGAAAGATAACGTTCGCTTTATCTCAGAGAAATAAAAACAGGAAGGCTGGAGATAACATCAACGCTATGGTGTCACGTGCGCGACATTCGCACCAGAATCTGAGTAGCACGGAATATAGACAAGTCGTTCAAAGGGGAAGGGCAATCAAAGGGTTCCTAAGCCTATGAGCTAAGGAGATCCGGTGTGGGTGAACGAATTTCTTCAAGCACGCATCAAATCATTCCAGAGGTCGTATGCTATACTTTCCTCAAGGGGAAGATATCCCCCAGTAAACCTCCGCTGTCTGCCGTTATCTCTACCAATGCCCATAGTCTCTCTGCTTCAGCCTCTATGCATCTGTATGTTCCCCACCACTCGCGGAATCATCCCCCAACGGCTATGTGTTGGGGAGAGGCGGAAGAAAGATTATTTCCTGCCGCTTGTACTAAGCACTCCTTATCCTGAGCGCAGAGTTAGGCGTAGTATGTTGACATTGGCACGGCACTGGTTACTCGTGGAATATTACAGTCTGGGACAACTGTCATCTTGTTCTGTGTTAAACAGAGACAGAGACACAACAACAATTGTGTCAAGATTGAAATGTTACTCACCGAGAACATACACCTTTTGAGCGCTTAGTGGCATGCTGGCACGCCTACCCGATCTTCAGGATTCGAGTATACAGGGGTGGCCAAAAAAAAAGTCACTTTGACCAAGTCACATATCAACGAAGTTTTCGCAGCCCAGACAGGGGAAGTGGATATGAGTACCAGAGTGGAGATACCCAAGATCTTCCTCTATAAGCTGGAGCAGGCTGCCGCCAATCGCCTTCATGTACGCCAAAATATGAAGTCATCTCCAGTCGCGGCCTGACTGGAAACACCTTTGGAATTCACGTCGCCTCCAAACAGCTGCGAAACTTCTTGAATGAAGTCATCCACAGATAGCTACCTGGAGGTCAGTACTCTTGATCTGCAAGACCTCCCACATCGAGCAGCTTCCTCAACTTCGCTACGGTCTAGGACATCATCTTCACCGTGTTCGCCGAGGCGCGAGTTGATGGTATGGACCGGGTTACCTGGAAAGGGGAAGACCGGTATTTTCTTTGTAGACCCCGACTGAAGGTGAGCGCTGGCGGTTACATCAAGTAACTCGAGAAGAATATCCTCCCTACATGTGGTCGCCCGTACCTTCTTGGAGACCTTGTGCTGCTACAGGTTTGGGTGCCACCACATGGAATCAAAGGGTTTTGGAAAAACTCCCGCCTACTTCGAATGGAAGGGCGTTTCGTACCTGAAGAAGATGTAATATTGAAGTATGTCCCCTGACCTGAACCCACTCAATTACCTAGCTCGGGCGGACTTCAAGAGGGTGGTCTACGGTGGCGGAGAAATCGACTACTTCGCTGATCTCAGGTACCACATCGCGGTCGCGTGCCAGAATCTCTCGATGGCGTTCGTCCAGAAGGCTGTGGCGGAGTGTCGTGATAGTACTTAATGTGCTCTTCAATATGGTAGTAAAAATGTCCGATCAGAATTTGATAAAGTGTAATTTATAGCGCCTCGAAAGTCAATGAGGCAAAGTGACTTTTTTTTTTGGCCACCCTGATAATATTCGCTCAGAGCGTGCGCAGAAGAGTACGGATGCAGAGCGACAAGAGCCAGAGAGACGAGGGGTCAGTAGAGAAAAGGGTAAGGAGTGGAAGATTACTAGATGTCTGCCTTTCGAATGGAAGATAGAGCCATACGGGCCCCAGTGTGTTGCACTAAGGCCTGAAGAGGCTTCTGATTATCCTTCCCCCCCTAACCGATCTGCGCCCCGTCCTCATATATAGCACAAAATAAGAACCACTCCATATGGAACGATGCCAACCTCCAATATTTTTCATCTTCATAGTGTTCATTATCAGCCTGGACTGCAGACATTTCGGCAACATCTGACTCTTCCAAAAGGAAACCATCATCCATATCAACTATCTTACCGTGAACAGGACATCTGAAAACATTACTGAATGACCAGCTTTGTTTCACTGCTAATAAGAACTAGATCTGAACAAAACTTAGCGCTAACGTCGGTTGAGGCTGCGGGCTAGGCCGCTGCCCGACAACGTCCATTCTCCTCTCCAAGGCTCAGTCGTAGGACTGCGTTCAGAGTATGCGATTCGCGCAAGCAGCGACCTGGAGTGGCGCTCCATCGCCAAACGGTGCGTACCGCAATGACACAATCTCTAATTGGCAGTGAATGTGAAGCGGACACGAAGTTTTTACTCCGCCTACTTCGAATGGAAGGGCGTTTCGTATCTGAAGAAGATGTAATATTGAAGTATGTCCCCTGACCTGAACCCACTCAATTACCTAGCTCGGGCGGACTTCAAGAGGGTGGTCTACGGTGGCGGAGAAATCGACTACTTCGCTGATCTCAGGTACCACATCGCGGTCGCGTGCCAGAATCTCTCGATGGCGTTCGTCCAGAAGGCTGTGGCGGAGTGTCGTGATAGTACTTAATATGCTCTTCAATATGGTAGTAAAAATGTCCGATCAGAATTTGATAAAGTGTAATTTATAGCGCCTCGAAAGTCAATGAGGCAAAGTGACTTTTTTTTGGCCCCCCTGTATATTCGCTCAGAGCGTGCGCAGAAGAGTATGGATGCAGAGCGACAAGAGCCAGAGAGACGAGGGGCATCAGTAGAGAAAAGGGTAAGGAGTGGAGGATTACTAGAGATGTCTCCTCTCGAGTGGAAGTATAGCATACGGCCCCAGTTTTGCACTAAGGCTGAAGAGGCTTCTGATTATCCTTCCCCCCCCCCCTAACCGATCTGCCCCGTCCTCATATATAGCACAAAATAAGAACCACTCCTGACATTTATATGGAACGATGCCAACCTCCAATATTTTTCATCTTCATAGTGTTCATTATCAGCCTGGACTGCAGACATTTCGGCAACATCTGACTCTTCCAAAAGGAAACCATCATCCATATCAACTATCTTACCGTGAACAGGACATCTGAAAACATTACTGAATGACCAGCTTTGTTTCACTGCTAATAAGAACTAGATCTGAACAAAACTTAGCGCTAACGTAGGTTGAGGCTGCGGGCTAGGCCGCTGCCCGACAACGTCCATTCTCCTCTCCAAGGCTCAGTCGTAGGACTGCGTTCAGAGTATGCGATCGCGCAGCCACGACCGGAGGCGCTCCATCGCCAAACGGTGCGCTACCGCAACGACACAATTCTAATTGGCAGTGTGTGAAGGCGGCCGAATTTTGAATTCCGCCGTTGCAGCGGCGCACCGCTAGACGGTAGAGGGGGCCCCGGTAGGGGATCGCACGATGCAATGGAATGATCCGATCGTGCGATCGCGAAATCTGAACGCAGAATAACGGTGACTATCAGAGCACGCGAGGAGACATGGTCGCGCAACCGCGTGCCCCTTCCTTCAAACTACGTTAGCGCCCGAATCGCTATCTGACATTTTGCAAGAAATATCCACGTACCTGCTTGAGTCCATCCTCGGACAAACTTCGCCATTTGATAGCCATGCTTTACAACGTCTCTCCGCTCGCTGAATAGAAACAAAGAATATACAGGTAGGTGCTGCATCTCTATAGGGTCTGTTCATACTTTGCGACTGGAAGATCCGGCGGACTGTGAGACTCGACGATTTCCAATAACGTCGAATCGCGAAGTCTCCACGATCACTCGCGACCAGCGGCGTTCGGCACCCGTCCACTCCGTCGGCGCGCTATTGCCGAAAACGCCGAGTGTCCCAAGCAGGGTACGCCATCGTTGTGATCATCACAAGGGGGGGGGGGTATTTTGACCGCGAGGGAGGGGGGGGGTCGTATTTGGTCAGAGAAAATTTTTTTGATAGTTGATTTCTCTTGTTTCACGGACGCTGTAAAGGGGGGGGGGTCGTACTTGGTCATTTTTGGGAGGGGGGGTCGTATTTGGTCAGTTCCACGGACGCACTACTATTTCCGACACTTGAAAATGATAGTTTAATTCTGACGACCCCCCCCCCCCCGCTCGACGGCTCGGTTCGATGAGGAAGGACAGAGGGCTGGGAGGGGGGGTCGTACCAACTCCCAAAAAGGGGGTCGTATTTTAGTATGGAATTAGGGGGGGTCGTAATTTTCAGAAAATGATCACAACGCGATGGCGTGCCCTGGTCCCAAGTCGCCGAATCGCTCAATCTCGGCAGTCGCCAGATCGATACCCATACTTTCCTCGTCGAACGCCCTCTCAAATAGCCGAATCTCCTCAGTAGCACAGTATGAATGGGGGTTGAAACTCCTCAGTCCGCGCACCACAGATAGTTGGGTGCAGGGTATATTGCTAGTCCCGAGCTCCGAACGACGCTTAGCAAGCGGGTCACGCGCAGCAACCACGACCCAATCAATTTAACGCGGAAGGGCTACGTTGTGTTGATTGTTTTCGCGCGGGCCGGACTTGCGCCATCGGCAGTAATTGACACCCTCAGTCCGCTGATGCGATGCGTGTCGTGTACAGGGCAACTCGTCCACGTTTGTTAATAACTTGATCGGCTACTTGATCGACCTACGCTGGCACGCGCAGTAAAACATAGACGACCGATTGCGTGCGAATTTCCTACTTAACCATTTTCGTCGGTTTTTGAGCAATTTTTGCCCTCTTTCGCCCGACATTTCTTTATGCTGGGTAGCTACTTAGAAGTGGTTATATTCGAGAGTACTTGAGCTCTGCATCTCCGACTTCACAAAACAGCTTCAGTTTTCGATGAGTGCCCTCCTCTGCACCGGTAAGTCCAAGTTCACTTTACTCAGGTAGGAGTTTATCAGAAAATTTGTTATCATTGCTATGAAAAAGTTCTTCCTTGTGCACACTCGGGCTATAGTTACAATGACCTCTTGTTTGGTTTTCTCACTCAATAGTATTATTAAATGTTTCTAAACTACTCAAATTCAAGTTTTTTTTCTGTTCGTTATGTCACTGTCATTGCTGCTATACCCTAGATTTGATGTCTCCACTGGGCATAGCAAATGAGTAACGGCAGAGTCGCACCTTCAGTACTCCCCTGTGGCAGTAATAAATGAGGGACATCATCCTTTGACAAGGTCAGAATGCCAGTTCCAACTCGCAAATATGTAAGTGTAAAAGGGTCATCAATCGAGGTAAAGTATAAAAAAGGCTGTAGCTCAGCAATTCTCAAGGCTCATGGAACACAAGTGAAATTAAATCACCAGGTAAAAGGCTGTTTTGTGCACTGAAGTTGCTGTCTGACTCAACAATCGTTTCGCTCCGAAAATTTAAACGAGAAATGCAACCTACCATCCGACATTAGCTAGCTTCACAGTGGTGAAGTTCTTCAAAAATGCATCGCTTGAGGGTTGGCACAATTTTTTGGAATCTTTTAAAAAAGGTTAGTTTACCCCTTGGGCACGCTCATTTTGGGGATAGAGCTGTAGCCAAATATCACTGGTGACAAAAAATTTTGGCCGGCTGGGTGAAACAGTGAAGGGTAGACTGAAGTGTAGACAGCAATAGTTTGTTTCACAAATTTATGTCCACTAAAAAACTCCGAAGTTACCACTCGAAGTTACGCAGTACATTCATTGCGTCTACGAAAGCTGCTTCGAAGTAAGATATATCAGAACTCAAAAGTGCTCCCGATATAACCACTTCTAAGTAGCTATAAGTAAGGGATGTCGAGGCGAAAGAGGGCAAAAAAATTCCCTTCAAAAACCACGAAAATGGATTGTTGCTGATAGGAGATTCGCACGCAATCGGTCGTCTATGTTGGCGCACTGCCAACGTAGGTGGATCAAGACGTCAACCAAGACATTAATAAACGTGGACGAGTTGTCCGACCACGAAAACGCGTCGCCATCGGCTGGGTGGTGGGTGGCAATTACAGCCGATGCGCCCCAATGGCAATCCGGCCGCGCCGAACGACCGGTACCCCACGTTGTGCTGATTAACATAGAGAATGTAAATGTGCTAAATTTGTGCCGCGATCCGCTAACTCGGCACTTCAAGGATTATGCCTAGAACATTGCACATTCACAGTTATAAAGTTTAAAACAGAGTAATTCGCACCTGTTTTGAGCCCGATGGAATACCCTCCACTGAGTTACTGCTACACGGCTGGTCAGAACGATTCGCTTTTTCCAATTGTGTCGTTACTCGGTTCCCGTACTATGTCGCAGCGGACGTGTATCACGCTGGTCGAGGGACGTGATCAGGTGGCAAGAAATCCTCCACTACAAAAAAAGAGTAGCTATAAAGACGTTCATTACAACAATATAGTTGCAATCCATACATTGTTTGTCGTGCACATCTTCGAGGTCACTTTCTTCACTATCACTCGCATAAGCGCCTTTTCGTAGTCGTTTCTTTGGCTTCAGTTTCAACTCGGCAATTTTCGCGCATCGGAGATCGATCTGCTTCTTCAGCGAAATCAAGTTTCGAGTGAGTGGCTCGTCGCATGCGGCTCCATTCAGTTGGCGTTGCCAGCTTCAATAAACCGTTGCTTGAGCAAACGCTTGATGACACCGTTCTGGATTGGCGAGTGGGTGAAAATGGAAAACGACGTGATTGGCGTAACGTTATGGTGAAGCAAACGATACCGTTTTCTTCGACGCCAATAACGTTGTTTCCAGGCTCCACCCAGTCGACAGTCCTGAATGGTGTCCTTAAGAGGCGGAGAACGTACCCGACAATCTTATTCCGATAGACGTCTAGCATGACCTTTGCATCTCGTACACTCTCCACTATCGCCTCGTTGTCTTCATTGATGATCACCTCTGGGGCGAGCGATTTTATAACAACAGAAATCGAGTCGGAGCCTGTGTACCCATGGACAGTCTGAAAAAGGTGTTGAGCTGAAATGAGCGCAACGTGAATAAACGAGTATAAAAGAAGCGTAGATGTAGCACAGGTCCATTATCTGTTGGAAATCGGTAGATGACGTGCCATCTCAGACATTAAAGGCACGCCCTGTTCAAGCAGCTGCGCTTGTACTTGTATAAGGCGAAGAAAGAGCATGGTCGGACGAGTTCTTACTTTTTGGTGCCAGCCAGCTCTTTCTCCTTATCACCTCACTCTCACCATTCAATATGGAGAGAGTTAGTAGCGGAACAACTGCACCATGAGGTAGCATTGAAAATGAAAGTTAGGCGTTATCGCGGCCAGGGGGCGGGGGTGCCTGGTCGCGAGCTGGTAGCGCTTCATCAGTAAGGCATCAAAGCACGTTATATGGCGTCAGTGACACGTCATCTCTATCTTAGTCATCTTAGTCACATACTGGACACAGGACCTGTGCTACAGTAGCGTCTCAAACATAAGGGTTATGAAAAGGCATTTTCGACTTGAGAAATGACTTAGCGCAACATATACAGGTTAAAGCCTTTACCCTTGATTTCACTAACTACAGGACCTCCAAAGGGTGGAAAACTTGGTTGATCTTCGTTTTGGGATCCGATTCTCCCGGAACAGTACATCTAGGGTAGCAGCGCCACTTGCCACTGTCCCTCTATCGCCACTGCAAAAAAATTCGAATAATAAATCTTCAGCCATTGCTCAGAATATTCAGAAGCTAAGAACATGTGGCTAGGGCAGTTAAGTGGACGTCAGGGACACGCAGCGGCGCAAACAAGGCTTCGACCAAATTTGAGGAGCCTCGTCTTCCTGCGTGTCTCCCCTCACTAACTACCTTAGCCCTGCTAATGCGCACAGTATACATCCCGGCGTTGAAGACGGGATGCCAGTAGACTTGTATTGTGAATATAGCAGCGGTATACAGCTGCCTGTTCACACAGTTACACAGAGTTCGTACATAAGAGAGTACAGACGCCACAAAAAAGCGATGTACTGTTCTCTGCCGGAATTGGCAGCTGCCAACAAATAATCCCAAGCCGTCACATGGCACCTGAGCCCGTGGATACTCGCCCTCCGACGCCGAGATATGGACTGTACCGCTTTCTTGTGGTCCAGTTGCAATGCGAAAGAAGAATAATATACCGTGTAGATACCTGCACTTTCTCTGAAACTTGGACACTGCTAGGACAAGTGGCAATTCCTGAGCCATTCCTAGCGTCTGCATTGGATTCCGTACAAAACACTGGAACCAAAATCGAAAGAGCCGTGTCAATAGAAGCTATGCATTGTTCAACATCGGCTTTTGCATCGTCGAATTCCTGGTGAATGTGAGCCACGGTCTAAATTCAAGAACAATCTTAAACTATTCCCTTAGACAAACTGCTAGCGATATTCACGATACGTGGCGCGACCACCAATGAGATAGCGTGGACAAACAGTCAAAGGCAGTGGGCAAGATGGCTGGGGGAGGGCGGCTGTTGTCAATGTCACTGGCGCGAAGGCTAGGTAGGGTGCAGCCAAGCGCTTTCGCACTGCCGCCAGTGACGCTGGCAACAACCGCCCGCCTCCAGCAATCGTGCCCACTACCTCCCTCTAAATACCTTCAACAAGACTGAAGTTTTTAAGTAGAATCCATCCAAACTAGAGAGCTGTGCAAGTGCTTACTAGAAAGGCAAGCAGTTCTCCCTATTAACCACCGAAACTGCTTACAGGGGAGTAAAGGTCCATAAAACGATACTGAGTTCAATTACCAGCGACTCACTTTCTGCAATAATTCCGCATTTCTTCGAGCTTCTTCCTCTTTCCTCATCCGTTCAGCCAACATTTCTGCAGATTCGGAATCAAAACCCACAACCTGCACAGAAATATACGTGAGCCACATATAAAATATAACAAGACCGATAACAGAAAGGATAACATGCTACTACCTTGGACTCCCGCAGAAAATCGCTGACATAGTTCAACTTTTCATAGCCGGGACCAAATTTCTCATGCCACTTTTTAACAGTTTTTAAAGCATACGCCTGAGAAGGAAATAGTTCAAGGGAATCTCAACTTGTTTTCTAGCGCACCTTCAATTCCTTCGCTTCCTTCATTGGTCCAGGGAGAGGATGATCCTTAGGGTCTGTTTCGCATACTAGCAAAAGCAAGTCCTAAAAGTGGAGGATTGATCATATGAATGTACATGGACAATGGAAGACGCTACCTGCAGTCTTTCAACTGTTTTCAGTCGGAATCTGTGGGAACGGTTGAAGAAGTAATCGAAAAGTGACAGCAAGGCTTGCCTTCGTTCCGAGTCGCCTGAGTTCTTAAAGGGCAGTGGTTCTAGTTCCTTGATTCGTTTCAAAATAATCGCACGGCATCCTCCAAGGTTGCGTTCATACTCCGCGGCGCGATCGCTTGGATCGGAGGCGCTCCAACGCTAATCGATGAAGCGCTGCAGCGACAGAATTCAAATTCGTAGCAGTGTTCAAACACTGCATAAGCGCGCAATTTCTAGCGGTTGG